TAGAATCACAGCATTCTGCCCTAAAATTAGTCAATTAACTACCTATGAAAGAGCCCAATGGTATAAGTTTTAAAACTATATTTTAAGCTAAATAATGTGCTGTCTTTAGCAAAAATGGAGTAAAGAAGGCAAAAAGAAACTGGCTAGCCCAAGGTTCCAATATGAACTATCTGTGTTTTCTGGAGCGGAAAGCCCCTAAGTGGTCACGAGAGTAAATTTCTACAAGTCCCTAGGGCCAGCCATCGAGGGACCGACACCGATGAGGAGCGTGTCTTTCTGGGGCTGCAAAGCGAGAAGTAGGGTAATGAGTTAATCAGAGGCCACAGTGCGGAAACTAATAAAAAAGCAGGAACAACTGGGCTGTAATAAGAGTCCCTCTGTTGTTGTAAATTAAGTGTGCTGAATCAGAACTTCTAAAGCAAAAACACAGAGACACAGTGAAGTGGCCTAAAACTGACACAACTAAAAAACCGAGAGAGCTGGCACTGGCATTTCCCCTTCTCTCTACCTTAAAGGGTTTCTGATAATGAGTTACATGCACAATGACTAATAACAGACATTTTAGGGTTACTATGGGTTCCCGTTAGGGGAACTATTAGTCACTTATTAATAGATCAAGGAAAATGTGCAATTTACAATGTCAACTGAAATGGCCTTTATTCTGCAAATAAGAAACAGTAAGGACCCAGGCAGGAGCTCAGGTCTAAGGAGTGCAGTCAGCAGCCTGCACTGAGCTCGAAAGCAAGGACACACAGGCTGACGTTGAGGAGCCGCTGAGCCCCCTGGGTCCATGAATGACCTGTCATCAGGCTGTGAGCAGAGCATTGCTGAGCCTTTCATTGTGATTGTCTTTAAAAAAGGCAAACCCTGAGCTGGCAAGAGAAAAATGCAAGAGATGGAACTGCATGAGTCCAGAAGATCGGGACAAGTGGCCGTCTCCTGTGCTCTGAGTATCCCGATTCCCAACCCCTTGCCTGAGCGGGCCACAGGCTTTCCAGCCCACACCCGCACCTTGGGCCTACAGGAATCCCAGGAAAGGGCTTGTCTCAGCCTGTTTTCTGAGAGTACTCCAGGCAAACCATAAAGAAAGAGGCCTACTCGGCTCACAATTCTGACATCCAAGAAGCCCGGTGCCCACCTCTGCCAGCTTTGGTGGCCTCATGCTGCGTGCCTCATTGTGGAGAAGCAGAGGTGAGATCAGGTGGTGCAGAGACCGCACTGAGGAGACCTCGCTCCCTAACAGCCAGTCCTCCAGGGGGTCCCAGTTCCCAATAACACCTTCCTAGGAGTCAGATTCCCACAAGTCCACCTGTAGCAGCTCTACACAGATGACCTCTGGCTAGACAGTATTTCTCTTAGAGACCACCTCAGGTGAAGCGTCAGCTCTGGAGTGGGACCCAAGTGTTTGAGTCCAGAGGGTGCAGAGGAGTACTCACTATGTTGAAGGAGGGATCTGCCTTCCAGAAAACAGTCTCCTCCCCATCCAGGGCCAGTTAAAAATAAGGGCAACTGCTGGGAATAGAAATAAAATTTATTTATTTATTGTTTTTAATTTGCCAGAGACTGAGAGATGGAGACAGAAAGCGTCCCGCAGTGGGGTGTGATCACCCGATTCCTTCTCCTCCATTTCTCCATTGCGGCAGGATTTCAGGCACGCGCAGGTGCCAGCCTGTTTTTCAAGCCAGCTGGACTGGGATTCAAACGGTGCTCAGCCTATGGGACCTGGCTCTCTTAACCACTGGGGTATGGGGCTGGCCCAGAAGTAAGGTTTATAACTTCCAAACCACTAGTGAGAAAAACAGGAAATGATGATTTAATTAATCCAACAAAGTAAGGAAAGGCGAAAGACAGTAAGAAAATATAATGAATGGGATCTTGTAAGACGGAGAATGGTTCTGCACACTGAGCTGAAATCCAACCCCTTTCACTCCACTGGGGTCTTTTAGATCCTCAACGGGGAGCAAGGAGGGACACATCTTCCTAATGCTTCTCTCCCTCCCCACAACCTGATGCCTCATCTCATCTACACATATACTCTTCCTCTTTTTTTTTTTTTAATAGATTTTTTTCTATAGGGCACGTGCACTTGCTGGAGAGACAGAGAGAGAAGAAAGGGAGACATCACCCCTGGGGGGATGGCCATGCGGCAATCCCTTCTCCTCCATTCTCCTTTCAGGATTTTGGGCACGCAAACGTGTGCTGGCATGAGTTTTAAGTTGCTGGATCTGGGACTTGAACTGTAGTCGACTATGTGGGAGTCCAGTGTCGAAACCACTATGCCATTTGCTGGTCTCACACTTCCTTTTCACTTGTGCTGATGTCTTAAGGCTATGATAGTGTCCAGTCCGCTCTTTGAAGTCAGAGCTTCCTACCACTGTGTGGCATAGTTGTACTGTCCTCCTGGTAGGTGGAGCGCCCGACACCTTCCCAGACAGTTCCTGGCTTTGACTTTGAACAGTCTTGCAGAAGTTCTTACATTCAGGGTGACTGTCTCTGTCCCCTAGCACTGTCTTGCCTGGTAACGCTTCATAAGGACCTTTGGTACTAAAACCACAGAAGAGATAAACCAGCCTGTCTGTTGCCAGATTGCCTGGACCCTTGGCATGCACAGGAAACTCAACACCACTGATCTGTCTCCTGTGTTTGTGAGGTGAGCTCTGGACAAAGAACTGGGACAGTCGATAATTCAGACCAGGGGATCAATCGACATAACACTGAAGCTGGAACTGTTCCGAATCCTGCCAAGGTTTGAAGCTAATCTGAAAGAGGATGGGTGAAAGCATAAGAGGTTTCCCAGGAAAGCATTGCATAAGCACCTGGCATGGAGGCTCAGCGGCTTCTCACCACCAAGGAGTTCCTTTGTGCAGTAAAAAATGCTTCTATGATTAAATGAAAGTTAAATTCTTCATTTTAACCTTGACAGCATTAGAAAAAAACAAGATTGTTTGATCCCCCTTGCCTTTGATCACACTCACTGCATTACTGCGCTGGACTCAATCCCCCAGATCTGACTCTGCTGCGGCTGTCCCCTTCCACCCAGTCCTGTGGCTCCTAAGGTCCTCCCTAGTATCCTGTTGATCTCACAGATGTACTGGCCCGAAGGTGTCTTCTCCAAAGTCAGCTGCTTCCCTGATTTCCTCTCTTCCAGGAAAATAACAATCACAACAAAACAGCACCTTATCCGAAATAAAGCACCTTTGCAAAATAAAATACTTCAGTTTGTACTCTGAAACAGACTCTGAGGCAAGAGCAATGCCATCTGCCGGCTCAGCATTCAGATGACACTGTCTCTGAGGCTTGGGCAGCATCCCATTGTGCTCACAGAACTGTGACACAGAGGATCAAAACGGGCACCTGGCCAGGGTCTGTCACCTGGGCAAGAAGAAACCAGAAACCAGAGGATTAAAAACTGCCAGTGAGGCCAAGCTCAGGCAGGGTCTGGCCAGGTGGTTTTGACCCAGACTCTGCCACCTGGTGGGTGAGCCAGAAGGGCAGGTGGGTGGGCTGCGGGGAGCTTCCCAGCAAGAATGGCTACATGCTCAGGCTGGAGACAGCAGTGGGAGCAGAAGGTGCAGAAGAGACTCTTCTATGTTGTTATACATTCTGTTTTTAAAAATACACGTAATGCAGCGATTCCTTTAAAGTCTTGTCTTGCAGACAGTATGTTTCAATATCTTTTTACAGCTATATATGTACTTTGTACACATAGTATATGATAAAAATATATCTGACTTTTATAAATGAGCTCTGTTGTCAATACCTTAGATCATTTCTTTAGCAAAAGGATCCTATCTTTTTAGATTTGAGGCCTGATGATATATTGCTCAGATGGTGCTACCCAACAAAGTCCTAATCAATAACTATTTTTGAGCATCTCTTATGTGTCCTGTTTTACATGCACCATTTTAAGTATCTATGACTATTAAGACAGGTAACAGTTATAATTAAAGCCCTTAAATGCAGAACAGAGAGAACAATGAAGGAAAATTATTTCCTGTCTCATAAGAAATTCATAGGCCAATACACCACAAAACACTTCAAAAGGCACTGAAGTCACAATTTTGACCTTCCCCCCCATCAAGTTTAATCCATTTCTCTATTGTTTTTTTCCTTTAAAAATAGTGGTTAAAGGTTAGGGAGCTATAAAATCTGATCCAAGGCAACTTGTGTTTTTTCTCCTCCCTGCTAACTCCACATGCTCTAACAGATGCTTTCACATAAAATCCCATGCTGCGTCTTCTCAAATTAAAGATGTGCTAGTAGCCAAGCGCTATCGAAACAAGGCAGGATACACACGCACACCCCAAAATAAGCATGTTTTAGTTCAGGATTACAGTTTTAGTTTTTAGCTTAAAAACGTAAGTAAAGTGATATCTTATAAGAATAAAAATACCTTTACTGTGTCCTTTTAAATAAGGGTGAGCTTAAGAGTTAGGACCCTTGAATTCAAAAGCTCCTGTTCACTTTTTTGTGAGCCACTGAAATTCTAAAAAAAGAAAAAGAAAACAGTAATAAAAGCATAAAGGGTGGTATGAGACACCGGTGAGACATCACTGACGTCCCTCAAGACTGCGTCGGTACATGTGTCTGTCACAGCCTCAGAACCTGGTCTGGACACCACTTCCAGGGGCCTCGTGCAGGCACCAGCTTTGGTTGCAGCTCGTCACTGCAACAACAGACCCCAGCAGGCTCCACGAGATGACAGTCCAGAGGGTCCCAACCATGAAGACAATGCAGGAGTGAAAGAAAAACACAGAGGGGCCAAGGACGCTGGATGTCTGCCATGAACGGAGAGGTTTGCGATCCTAAGAGATTGATTTTACAGGGGACATGCTTAGTGGCTGGGAGGCCCAGGAATGTCACCTGCTTCCTCTCAGGATGTCTCTGATGCTGCTCTGAGAGTCAGAGTGGCTCCCCAGTAGTGAGCGCTTTTCAATTTGTGAGAACTCTGACGACGCAAACCCAAGGGACCTGGAGATTAAAGTATCTAAAATACTTGCCACTGAGCAAAGGCTTGTTGAGTGTGTACAGCGGCGGGAGGTCTTCGATATTGGAGATCCGCTGGTACATGGCCCTGGAAAGGTGGTCCCCATGATAGAGGCTGCCCAGGATGATGCTCGAGAAGTAAATCGGCTCCACGAAGATGCTGAGCAGGGAGCCCTGGATGCCCACCACGTTCCAGCTGCAGGGAGAAAGACACACATTCCTCAGTGCAGTGGAGGGGCCATGGGACAGAGTGCCAAGGAGCACACGGCCTGAGCCTACCACTCCACAGGTCTGTGGGCACATCGGCCAACCGAGGGGAGAGTGTAATGAAAAATGGAAAACTGATGTAGCCTAAATAAAAAATTTTAAAGAGAAAAATCGAACAATGACTTTAAACTGCAAGACAATTTTTGCCATCATGTCTTCCCACACTGACCCATTTGCGGTAGGTTAGTTCTATTGGGTCGTCAGAAAAGGCATGACTTATTTTGCATAGAGAAACACGTCATGACTTTCCCGACGACCCGGTAAGATGGCATCAGTGAGCCACAGGTACCTCCTTAGAGCCTTGCGGGGGAATATCAAAAGGGAAAATGAATCTTTATTTCATTGTTCCTAAAAACAGCTCTTGTGGGACCAGCAGCTGGATAATGGTTAAATCGCTGGATTCCCAGATAGTCGACTATAGTTCAAATTCCAGACCTGGTGGCTTAAAACTCATGGCGGGTGTGCCTAAGATCCTGAGAGGAGAATGGAAGAGATGAGATTGTGATGTGGCCATCTCCCCTGGGAGGTGATTTCTCTCTTTCTCTCTGTCTCTCTGTCTCTCTGGTGGGCGCATGCACCATATAGCAAAAATCTCTAAGTAAATAAATAAACCAGCTATTAAGAGAGTCCTTCAAAATCTTAAGTTGGCTCCTCCTGTCCTTGGAGCCAGCCTGGCCCTAGCAAAGTGTGAAAGCTGGGGGGCAGGGGGGGTGGCGACAGCAGGTGACAACTGCATGGGATCCACTGGGAGGCAGAGGTGGGGGTCCACAGGGCAGCAACGTGTGCTTGGCAAACAATATGCCAATTACTCATGTCAAGGCAATCTAGACACCCACTGGGAGGCAGAGGTGGGGGTCCATAGGGCAGCAAGGTGTGCTTGGCAAACAATGTGCCAATTACTCATGTCAAGGCAATCTAGACATGTGCTGCTAGCCCTGACGCACAAACAATCTTACACATATCCACTACCCTCTGGGCCCTACAAGCAGGGGAACACTACTCCCCGGGTCCCATCATGTGACTCTTACCTTGCTGGGTGTCAGGGAGTGGGGCGAGCCACATCCAACCTTGGGAGGCAGG